TCAAGACATTTCAACAGAGACGATTAACCAGAAAATACTTACGACAGTTGAACCTTTAGCTTACATTATTATGTCTATAAATTGCAGCATAGAGTGTATAACTTTTACAACCATAAATAAATTGCAGCACAAAATGTATTACTTCTACAACCATGATTACAAAATTGAGTTTAAAATTTGAGTGCCGCCCACAAACAAACAAAACAATGAAGATAACAACTGAAAGAAAAAAAAGTCAATACTAATTTTGCAGGGTTGAAGCTACATCTATTATATATATATATATATATATATATATATATATAAAACAGTTGACTTATTTCTTTATTTTAAAAAAATAGAATAAATACTACATAAAGTCATTTACCAAATATACACAAATCTCTCTTTCAGATTCGATCATAGACCTAAACAGGTTTTCAAAAATTTAACAAACCCTGAATGTTTCAAGGCATGAAAACAACGAAAAATTCTGTAAAGTCACTCGCACTCTTTACACACAACAATCCATCCAAGCTCGGGAAATCCAAAAAAGCATGCATATCATTTACACCTATTATACTCATCAACAGAACTTAAATATCATTATGATACCTCAACTTTTGTAAATAAATACAATCCCATGAGTCGACAAATCTCCATCTTTATATAATAGAAGGAACTAAAGATTGTCAAACACAAGTAGCTTCTTTATTACTCAAACAAAAAAGGCACTTACAAACTTCCTCCATTCATCATCCTTGATTAATACTCTGATTCCAACAACACCACACACAATCCAAAATATACAAAACATGACTCTAAAATGTCTAAAGAGCATACAAATTTAAATGAACTCAAATTAAATTAATCTTACCCCTTTGCGATCGGAGGGCCGTGGGGGCAACTCCTTCTTGGTAAGGATGTGACCCTTGTTCAACCCAACAAACAAACCCGTACTGGGTGGTTTGGGAGCCATCTTCCTGTCGTAAAAGAAACACGATTAAAAATTGCTCCTAGTTTACACAATAATAAGCTAATAAAGAAGTAAGAGGCTTGTGCTGAGAGATGTCTGAAATGAATTTGAAAAGCACGAGAATTACCTATCTTCCTGGTTGGAAGCTTCAGAAACTGCGGTGAAAGAGGAAACTAGGGTTCTTCTTCGTGGATCTCTTTAGGGCTTTATACAAGAGGCTCAAATTGGACATGGACCACTGTAAGATTACATCTGTGCCCGGCCCATAACAATTTACCAAGTTGAAGCCTTTATTTCTGTCCCATTTAATTTAATTTATATTTTTTTCTTTCTTATTACGTGTATTAATTTATTTGTTAGTTTCATGGAGAATAGATTTATATTTTTGAAAGGTTTTTAATTGTTTTTTATTTACGGAAATTTAGAATAATTTTACTTTTGTTTTCTTAAATTTTAAAAAAGGTTTTTTCTCTTAAAACTAAAAAAAAATCATAACACTAAATTTTAAAAATCCTAAATAATTAAACCTTAAACTTTATAAAAAAACATACTTTCTACAATTTTACTTTTAGGGAAAACTGTAAGAGCCTGAAGATGTAAGGCTATTGGGCCCTGCAGCCTGACCCAAGAAGCTAAGGGCACTAGGACCTCAGAAGAGGCCTCATTTTTCCAGCTCTGAGTTCATTTTCCAGTTCTCCTTTCTCTCTCTAAATTCATCTCCATTTTCTCCTTCTTGCTCTGCCTTCTCTCTACCCTTACACTCATTTGAACCGTTGAAATTTTAAATAGGTGGTGTTCTTTCGCTCACGGAGTTGAGAGCTTCCCTTCTATCCGATTAGATTTCTATTTGGACAGGTAAGTCAGTTTCTCCACTTTTTCTTGAACTTAGGGCATGCAACTTTACTGATTGCATGGTGCTTCTTTTGATTCTCTGTTTATTCTAGTTCTAAGAGTTGTTTCCATCACCATTTACGTGGTTGTAGGGCACTGTTTGAGTTTTCTCTGTTTGAGTGTTAGAACTGTGAAATTGTGCATGTTGTGATGTGATGAATTTAAATCTGTTTTTGAATGAGTTTTTGTTGGTCTGAAATTGATCTGTTTTGGAAGGTCTGGAGTAAGGGTTCTGTAATAGCATGTATATGGGTATTAAATATATGTACAGGTACTGTTTGAGTTGTTGTGAGAGGAAGTGAAAATATTAAAATTAGGCATCTTTCAGATTTAGAGCATAAGAGAACATAAAGATATGTTAAATAATTAATTATTACTTCTTAGAGCCTTTCTTTGTTGTAGGATAGAGAACCTTAAAAAACCTGAGTTGGCACCTTCCCTGATCATAGAGCAGCCCTGCCCTGGTCCAGTCAGTTGTGACTAGTCATATGTGCTGGCGTCGAACGGTGAGTTTGATGCGTTCAGACATCTGGGTCCTCTCTGGTGACCAATTGGGATAAAGAAGATCTCTACTAAGGATGAAAATACAAATAAAACAAGTTGATTATAGATGCATAAAGTTATCTTGTGTTAATTTCTAGTCAATTATATTTTAAAAAATCATCCACCGTGTGTTTTTTGGAATTCAAAGTAAGGATCCATATATATATAATATATATATATATTCTATATATATATATATATATATATAATACTAATGTAAATATATATATTTATAAGATAATTACGTATCATTATATATATATACTATCTAATACATATTTGTAAGGATCTTTTGTTTCTTATTTGAAACGTGATTGTTAACCAATAAAATTACTATTACTTGTATATTATAAATTGATGCATTTTATGAGCGTTATGGGTTAGTTTGGAGTTGTTTTGGTTCTTGGTAATTGATTAACTTAGATTCAATTGTGGAGATGTTATTTTTCTTATAATTTGTGAGTGGTGAGTATGTATATTGTTGATTGTGTATATGTTGATTGTGGGAGAAAGTATATGATGACAAAAAGTGATGAAAGTATGATCCAAGTTGTAAATCAATTCCATCTGTGTAGGATCTCTTGGTGAGATCCTTAGTGTAAGAATGATTGCATGGTAGCTCAGTCTTGGGGGTTTTCCTGACGCTCCAATGGTCTTTCATTCTCAAGTAGAGATGATTGATCCATGTGGTGAGGAGTAGCAGGAGGTCCCTAGTCTTGGAGGGCTTCCAGTATGCTCCAGGGCGCGGAATGGATTAACCTCGTGAGTGTGGTAGGGTGGAACCCATTGGCAACGGCTTTGCAAAGCAGAGAGGCCACCACGAGTGCATACCCGCCATAAGCTCGGCAATCATTCTGGTCCGACGAGTCGGTCTATAAACAATGAGTCTTTGAATGGTCAATGTATCCATGTTTAAGGTGGCTTTTACATGTCGTGTGTGATTGAATAACATGATTTTTATGTCTAGCTCACCCTTGCTTGTTTGTATTGCTTTGTATGTTTTCTTCTTGCGATGATCATCCATTTGGATGGGAGCAGATGGCGAGGAGGTTCCATTGGAGACGACTTTGGATGTTAGGACAATGTTTGTCCGCCTAGTCTCCGATTGGTGTTATTAGCTATTCCTGAAATTTGGGATACCCGTTTTTCCTTCCAGCTTATATTTAGATCTCTTTGAGTTTAAGTTTAAATTCTGAAACTATTTTGAGGATGAATGTAATCCTATTTACTCTCAACTGCTTTCCTATATTACGCATGATGACGTCCTTATTATATATATGTTTTCTATATAATTGAGATTTCACATTTATGGTATCAGAGCAGTTTGTTCTTAGGATAACCTGCGAGTTGAGGGTTTGTCTTGTCTTCTCTGTGAATGATTGAGTCTAAATGGTATGATTTACCATTTCCTCCAAGTCTATATAGTAGAGTGTGTAGCTAACTAGAAGTTTTGAGAACAAAAACGTCTTGATAAGAGTAATGAGGGGCACACTCATGACTTTTACCATAGATGAATTTTCCTTTCTTAATTCTGAAGGTTTGAGGTAAGAAACGAGTTAGAGTTTCAGTGTTGTTTCCTGTAGTAATTCCCTGTTTTGTTCTTGCCTTTGTGGTGGTGTAATGTGGCTCTATAGTAGTAAGAGGATGCAGATTCAAGGACAACTTGAGTTGTATACCTTTATTAGAATTGGTTTAAGCCTTTGAGACCGCCCTCGAAGATAAGGAGTAAGAAGACTAAAATTTAGGCTTCAAAGGACAAGTGAAGATATTGGAGTTTAGAATAATGTTTTGGGTGAAGAAGTTTTTCAAGGTAAAGTCAGAAGGTCATATATCGTACTTTTCACAAGAAGGGGTTGAGTTCAAAGGCTAGATTAAGAGAAGCTTTGGATAAGCATGGATTAGCAAGGTTTAGAAATCAGTTTGGTTTAGTATATCAGTAACGTCAGAAGTCAGAAGAAAGGGAAGTGTTGGTGAGAATTGCATTGCGTTTGCTTAATTCACTTTTATGAAAACATGACTAGTATTTGCTTAGTTGTGTTAATCCGTGTTGGATTAGGGGTCAGAGGAGTGGTAATTGTTGCTATCAAGGATTAGAAACATTGCAATCGAACTAGTGTCAACCTATCTTTAATCTGTGTTAATTGTTCAGTTGATTTCCATTCACAAAACTGTCTAAACCCCCTCCCCCCCGCCCCGCCCAGTACGTGTTTGATCGTTTGATTGAACCACATTTGGTCTTTGAGAAATGAACTAGGAGTCACTTCCTAGTATATACTGCACTTTAATAACCGGGGACCAACGGTTCTGTCTTAGGTTTTGTTTGTGTTAATGTGTGTTTTTTGTAGTGAGTTTTCTATGTGTTTTGTTCTGTGTGTGCATTTTGTGTGTTTTTTATATTAGTGTTGTGTTTTGTTTGTTTGAGTCCAAATTAGGATACATTGGATGCTATTTGGCCTATTAGGCACAAAGTTGCAATGGAGATTTGCACGATTGGGAATAGTAACCATGGCACGTGAATAGTGCCCAGATTTTCCTAATTAATTAGCATTTTTTTTTGGTTTTGACAGCTAGAGGTGTTAATTTTCTTTGAAATTTTTTTTGTTCTCACTTCTTTTGTGTCCATATTTTGATCGAAAAACCCAGAAGCACTTGTAAATGTCCCAGTTTTGTTTTTGTGAAAAATAAGTTGGTCAAAACTCCGCGCAAGACGTAACTTTTGCTTCTAATGTCAGAATTGGACGTATTCTATATGCTTTTTGGGTGAAAAATAAGAGTAATCCATTTCAATTAGCTTTGCTAGTTGTCCATGCCTGCAATTCCAAAAAGAGATCGTTTTTTATTTCTTTTTTATTTTTGAAATTTTATTTTCCCCGTTTTTCATCATTTCTTTCCTTGGTTGATATAGTTACCCTTTGAATTTTGCTTTAAGATTTTTTGTGCTATCTTTTTATGATTTATGGATGTTTCTCACAAAATTTCAGCTCATTTGGATAAGGTTTGCATATACTTTCACAAACACTATAATAGCACTTTAGTCGAGGGTTGAAAGACGTTAGGAAAATAAAATCTTTCTAAGTGCGCTTTAGTTGTTAAAATATTTATGCTGCAGTGTTTTAAAACTTCCTCTTTCATAGCGAGTTGTTTAACATAGGAACATTTATATCAAAAGTTGAGCAATTGTAGGTTTTGTACGAGAAGCATTGAAAAACAAAGCAATAAGCACTCAGTTAATTTTAGACTGGTTTAATCCATTGACCTACATCAATCTCCTCTAACACCTTAGGGAGAGGCACGAAGCCACTAATGACTGCTTAGGGAGAGGAGATCAATTGAGAGACCTTCAGAGCAAAATTCTTAGAGAGATATTTTTCTTAGAGTGTTAAATATGAGAGTGAAGCAAAGTCTTTGACGCTACAAGAAGGAAGCAAGACCGTGCAGGAATATGTATCACATTTTGAGCATCTATCTAGATTATATACTCAGTCTATGAGTAGGGAGTAGAAGTGTAGAAAGTTCGAGAAGGGCTTACGTCATAATCTAATGAGGATGCAGAAAGGCAGTTCCTCTGAGGAAAAACATCAAAAGAAGTCGTATGAACGACCTTACCATTTGGGACAAAGAACCTTGAAATGATTTAGATGTGGAGGAGCTCATGTCAAACGAAATTATCTTAAACTCTCTAGTGATAAGAAGGCAAAAAGGACATGCTTCATCTGTAATGAGCTAGTGCATTTGTCTTATGATTATCCCCATAAGAAGATGTCAGGTGGATCATTGCAGAGGAAGGTGACAAGCGCAAGCAGCTGGTAGAGTGTTCACTATGAT